ATCTCTCATGTAATAGAATTACATAAAATGATAGTATAAAATTTAATAAAACTTACATTAACAATATTGTGAACAACAGCAGCTATTGCTGATTCTATACTTTCATATATTTTATTTAGTTTCATGTTATCACAGAGATCAAGAAGGATAATTGTAGCTTCTATTGGACAATTTAAATAGTCACCATTGTAATAATTTGCCATGTATGCATATGCATAAATTACATTTACTAAATTGAAATAAACGTTTGGAGAAGCTTTCTGCAGATAAAGAAATAGTATTTAATACTGTACAATTTATTACATTTATAGAATTCTATATGCTAAGTAATATTAATTAATATATTACCTGCAACTCATTAAATATAGGAACATCAATGAGTGGAGGATATTCCTTTTCTTGTTCATTACATTTTTCATCCATATCTTGCACAAGTTTCTTTTCAGTATGATAAGTCCACCATGGAATCCACTGAGGTAGCAATGTCTCTATTTCACCATTTTTTACTAATGCTTCAAATTCTTGTCTCTCAGCATCTGTTAACGCTGACCATACTTCATCAGCATTATCCAAATTTATATTCTCTAATCGTTTATCTAAGTCTGAGATCTGAAATTAATAAAAAACCAAAAATTAAAAGTGATGTATATATATACAACAATACTTTCAAAATGATAAATTATATTTACATCTTCTTCATCATCTGAATCCAACTGACCCTCTGTTACTTCATCGTATTCTTCAGCATTGCTTATATCATCTTCTGAATCAAAATTTTGGAAATCTGTATCATGTATTCTTTTCAGAATTGCAACCATTTTATTTATGTCTTCTGGATGTTTCTCTTGAGATTTCAATTCTTCTTCTACACATTCCTTATAGAAACTTTCTGAACATTCCAAATGAGCTTCAGATTTATAACAATCAACATTACAATATCCCAGACCGCATCTAGGACAAGTATATACTTTGGATTTCTTATTGCAACTGAAATAAGAAACAAAATTGTAGTTAAAATGTTATTATCATATATTATTTGATTATTCGAACTATCAATCTCCTTTTATTGCATTAAAATAAACAAAAAACAAAATTTGTATGATGACAATGATAGGCAATGATAAATTTGAGGTTATAATTGTAATTCTTACAATTTGCAGACATTATCTGTAACTATAGCGTTTGTTCCTAAATTGTTCATGATTTAACTAAACATTTATTTCGAATATAAATAAAATAATTTACATTTCCATATATTAATCACTAATAGAAAATCTCTCTTACTGGACGTTACTCTCTCAATGGCACGATAAAGCAGATTTCTACGTTTATCGAACATATTTACGCCTCGACGGTTAGAACTTTCAAGAATATTTTTTATTTCAAAAGGTATTAAATATATACAGTTCGTTTTACCTTTATATTAGTCAGTGAAAATTGACCCTTCTGAGAAAATTATACTTCACAGTTTTGCAAAAATACTTTATTAATGCCAAAATAATTGTATCGATCGTGATTGAGAAACAAATTAATATTAGAACTACCGAGTAATTCCATTAGATTTTCCAATCTTCCTATAGAAACTCCAATATTGTGTTTGTGGAGATCTCAATCGATTTATAGTTTAGTTTGCGTATTTTTAAATCAATTTTATTACTTATTTTCCTAAGAAGCGTCTGTTCCTTTTCAATAGTTGCAGAAGAAGAATCTAGGAATAGGTCATTTTGAGCCACTTGGCAATTCTAGTGTTAAAGGGCAAGGGGTTATATTCGAAATTATAACTTGGCCTCTTGCAGCAACTTCCTCGTGGTGGACTTAGAAACTAGCACCATCGCTGATAGAGAACTTCCTTTTTTAAGGTGCAGAATATATGAAATGAAAAAAATTCAATATTAAATTATTTAATACGTTGAATGCCATGGGGGTCACCGGCGACCAAACAAATCGAATTACTATAGTTCATTCAATTAAACGATGATTATTAGAAAACATTTCTATATTATAAATAATGCTATTTAATGCGGTGCCATTCAGCTATATCAATGTGCAATAATAATAATGCAATTTAAACAAATGATTTAATATTATATCTTTTCCATTTTGTGTATTTTGTCCAATGAAAACGTGCGGCATTCAACGTGTTAATACAATTGCGTTGTTATTATCACAGGTTTGCTCAGCTGCATATTACCACATTAGATAGCATTATTTATGGTATAAGAGTGTTTACAAATGATCATTGTTTAATTGAGGAAATTGCAGTAACTGAATTTGGGCGGGGGTGACCACCATAAAATTCAATGTGTTAAGGTATCCGTTAAGGCTGAACTAAGTTAGAATTAAGTGTTCGAAAGAAGACGTCGATCGTCCACTGATACTCCATCATCTCGGACTCAAGAAAGAAGGTAGCTGGCGTGGGATTATTCTTAAGTGCGATACTGATCACTGCGTTTAAAATAAGGTTTAGAATAAGAACGGGAGGTCGGTGGACTTGAATTTCCACCCACCTCCCAGGGTCTCATTCGCAGCAACCTCCACGTGGTGGACCTGGAAACTAGAACCATCGCCGTCAGAGTAGTCCCTGTCGAGGATGGTGCTAGGCGAATGGCTGCGAATTGTGTTAAATATGCCGAGTAGTTATTCTTTATTTTAATTCTGATAGTGGTTTGCTTCGCATTACCGTGATATT